CTGCCGCTGCTGCTGCTGCTGCTGCTGCTGAGCCGTATGGGCCGCTGTTGCAGCGTCACCTTGGCTACGCGTGTTTGGGCGCTGCGTCTTGTGCGGGTCCTGGCGGCGGAGGAGGGTTTAGGGTTTAGGGTTTGGAGCTAGGGTTTAGGGTTTGGGCCGCTCAGCATCACGGGGCAGCCGACGAAAGGACTGGCGGTTTACTTCGGACACCACTCTTGGAATGTTGCTTTAAATGTAATGTTGGGAATGAGATTAGCAGGAGGTCGAGTTGCTGTTGCTCCTGAGAGATCTTTAAAACCCTACGACTACAACTACAAAGAAAAGTTCCGACTCCTCTCCAACTCCTCCGCCCTCGACAGCGCAAGCGCCCTGCGCCCCGTGAGCCGACGGCTTAGGGTTTAGGGTTTAGGGTTTGCGGCTTGCGGGCGGCGGCGGTAGCTGCAGCCTCCGCTGAGAAGGCGAAGGCCCTCTGAAGCGAGGGTTTAGGGTTTAGGGTTTGGCGGGTGTCTGGTGGGGAGTGCTGCTTGCGGAAACCCTGTGACGCGAGGGTTTAGGGTTTAGGGTTTGGGGGTTCGGGGTTATCACTTCCACTGTTCAAGCCCTGTGAGGCGAGGGTTTAGGGTTTAAGGTTGAGGGATACAAGCGGACGCAGCGCCGGGCTAAATTGCCAGGGGACTTTAACGCTGGCGAAGAGCTGCTAGCCTTTCGATTTTAGGGTCTAGGGTTTAGGGCTTAGCGTTTAGGGTTTAGGGTTTGGGGTTTAGGGTTTAGGGTTTAGGGTTTAGGGTTTGTGCTTCAGACGGCAGTGCGCTTCACGGATTACTCCCCCATGGTGTTTCGCCACTTGCGGGAAATGTTCAAAATAGACAAAACGGTGTACATACACTCCATTGGGCCAGAGCAGGTCGTCTCAAACATGCTTTTGGGTAGGCCACGCTGTAGGGTTTAGGGTTTAGGGTTTAGGGTTTGGGACTCAGTACCTGAGTGCAAGGGTGGTTTGCGCAGTTCCGCGTCTATAAAATTAGCACTTCTTTACTGCATTAGCTCAAGCAGCGCGGCGCCCAGTTCTTGTTCGTGCTTCTTGCTGCTGCTGCTGCTGCTGCTGCTGTTACTGCTGATTTTATTTTACTCAACAGGGAGTCTCTCCTCTCTTTGCGAGCTCGTCTCCGAAGGAAAGAGCGGAGCTGTCTTCTACTATACCGCAGACGGCAAATTTATAATCAAAACGGTAATCGTACGAGGGCGTAGGGTTTAGGGTTTAGGGTTTGTGGTGAGGGGCTGGCGACGAGGCTGTGGATTCTGGCAGACTGGAGTAGATTTAATGTCCAGGGTCTAGGGTTTAGGGTTTAGTGTTTACGTCTTGTGGTGAGGGTTTGGAGAAAGGCAGTGGTTCTGTGCCAGCCGGTGTAGATTGAGGGTTTAGGGTTTAGGGTTTAGGGTTTAGGATTTAGGGTTTAGGATTTAGGGTTTAGGGTTTGTGCAGGTCTCGCGAGAAGCAGCCAAAGGCCTCCGTCGTATCTTACCTGCCTACGTCGCCCACTTTGTCGAAAACTCTGAAAGCCTCTTGTCCAGGTTTTTGGGGCTGCATGCAATCAAGCACATCTTTCCCAGCCATGGCAAACTCAGCGCTGCAGGAAGTAAGGGTTTAGTGTTTAGGGTTTAGGGTTTATGGTTTAGAGCTTAGGGCTTGAGGGTTTTTGGGCCTCAGGTTTGCTCTTTGAATTCAGAGGGTTTACGCAACGACTCGAAATTGCATCTGCAGATGGCCTAGATGCAAGCGTGGAAACGTAAGCGTACCACGAGGGTTTAGGGTTTGAGGTATAGGGTTTAGCGTTTAGGGTTTAGGGTGTGTTTGCAGATCGCATGCGTCACAAAACATATTTTTTGGTAATGGAAAATCTGTTTCACACCCCGGTGCCTATACACCGCAGATACGACTTGAAGGGCTCCACTTACAAACGTTCCCTAGCCCCGGAAAGCCGCGTGTGAGCCCAAACCCTAAACCCTAAACCCTAAACCCTAAAATCGCTGCTGAGGCTGTGCAGTTGGAAGCCGTGCTTAGGGCCGAGGGTTTAGGGTTGGTGTATAGGCATGCAGTTTCTTTTCGTTTTTTTCTATTCAGAGATCCAACTATAGCTCTCAAAGACAATGACCTCGAGCGTGAAGGAGAAAAGGCACGCTTTCCGAGGTTTAGGGTTTAGGGTTTAGGGTTTAGGGTTTAGGGTTTGCGGTTTTGCAATCCAAAGGCCCGTTTGCACCAACTGTTGAGCTTAGACTTTTACAAGGGCTTGGTGTTTAAGACGCAGTATTTATTTATTGTCACTGCAGATCTAGTGAACAGGGTTTATGGCGGGAGCCCAGATGAGGGTTTAGGGTTTAAGGTGCAGAGAGGAGCTTGTCATGTGCATGCATGGGGCGAGGCCTGGGGTTTAGGGTTTAGTGCTACATGCATGGTGTTTAGGGTTTAGGGTTTAGGGTTTGGGGTTTGGAGTTTCATGCCAGGAGCTTGGTCCGAGGATGCCATACATGGAGTTGATGGTTTAGGATCTCATGCGTGGGGTCTAGGCTTTAAGGTCTAGGGTTTCATGCTGGGGTTTTCCGGTTTAGGGTTTGGGGTTTTGGGCGTTTTCTGTGGATTGAAGTGTTGAAGTATAAATGCAGGGTTTTGCGTTTTAGTGTTTTAAACCCTCTCTTTATGTTTGCCGCTTACCACTCGCACTGATTGCGTTTTGCGAGGTTAGAGTTTAGTGTTTGGGGTTCAGGGTTTAGGGTTTAGGGTTTGTTGTGGTTTAGATCGACATAGGGCCAGAGAGGGCAGCGAGGCTGCTGGAGCTGCTGCGCAAAGACGCCAACTTTCTCGTGACTCATGGATTAATGGATTATTCCCTGCTTGTGGGCATTTACTATTCCACGAGTGGAACGGGTAAACCCTAAACCCTAAACTCTAGATCTCTAGCGCGAAGCCCGAGAGGGGCTGCCCAGTACATCATTTCCACAGAGGGCTCTTGGGAGACTGCAGCGGCTGCCCTTCAAGTTGTTTTGCCTCCGACTTCAGAGCTCAGATATTTAGGAGCTGGAGTCTAGGGCTAGGGTTTAGGGTTTAGAATTCAGGGTTTAGGGTTTGTGGAGTGTCTCAGCTGCATCCCGGCCTGGAGGCAGCTTTTCCAGAGTTCCTTTGCCAGCTGCACTGTGCGTATGCAACGCGTAAACCCTAAACCCTGGGCATCAGCATCTACAGATAAGAATCGGGGAATCCGAGACGAGGGTTTGGGGGCCAGGAGCGTAGGGTTTAGCGTTTAGAGTTTAGGGTTGAGGGTTTAGGGTTTAAGCGCTGAGGTGTGTGCCTGCAGCACAAACGAGCCTATACCTTCAGCCAGCACCGACACAGGTGAACTAAACCCGATGTCATCAGGGTTAGGGTTTAGGCCCTTGTTAAATATCACTAAGCCCCTTTGGAGCTCCAGGCTTAGGGTGTAGGGTTTAGGGTTTAGGGTTTGGCGCGCTGTAGATGTGCCCTTCTGGCGTCGGGACTTGGGAGGTTTGGCGAGCCGCGACGGCAGCAAATTATATTACGTTGGCATAATTGACGTTTTGACAAAATGGGGGGCTTTTAAAAGAACGGAAAATGCTATTAGAGTTGTACAGTGAGGCAAAACCCAAACGCTAAACCCAAACTTTCACTCACGCGCTCCGCGCCAAAAGAACCGGGGGTTTAGGTCCTAGGGTTTAGGGTTTGAGGTCCAGCGCCGGAGTTAAGCTGTATAGCTCATTTGGCTAGCGTGCGTTGTGCAGCGCAAACCCTTTTCCACCTACAGAAACCTCCAGACCCTAAACCCCAAGCCCTAAACCAAACCCTAATTTGTGTTTTGCTTCGCAGGACCTGTGACTCTTATGGCATTTCTTGTGTCAATCCTGCCTTCTACGCAAGTAAACTCCAAGTCCCGAACCCCAAAGCATTCATAGCTCAAACTTTAAAGCCTAAACCCTAATTTTTGCGTCAGCGAAGCTGGCCTTCTCTAAATTTCAACCCTAGCCTGATCCGCGAAACCCTAAACCCGAACCACGAAGAATAAACCCTTTGTGCTTTGCCCGCTGTGTGCAGGCCGCTTCATAAGTTTCCTGGAGCGCCACATAGTGTGAATAAGCTTCATTTGAAAACAGTTTTTAGTTTTCTTTGTTTGAGTTTTGGGGTGAATGTACACCGCAGACGCGGCGCGTTTGCATGCGTTTCACTATTTCATTTCATTTTATTTCTCTTTGTTTGTCTGAGGTGCCCCACAGAGGCCAATGCATATTTGAAAAAAGAGTTGTAGTGGATTCCTACAAGCAAAGTTATTTAGAACTAGTTAACTAGCCAGTTCTAAACAGTTAGAAAAGACTGGCTGGTGGAAGCAGCCTGGCGTAGGCATCCAGTAGACCCTTGCAGCAGCAGCAGCAGCAGCAGTAGCAGTAGCAGCAACAACAATTTCTTTTGCCGCTGCTGCTGGTGCAGCTCCGGGGTACAGCTGCTGTGGTTCCGACCGCTTGCGCACCCGCAAGGGCAGAAGGTCTAGGGTTTAGGGTTTTGGACAGGGTTTCAGGTAAATGTGCACTTGTCTCAGTTCAGCGAAGGCACACTGAGGTGTATGCACACCTCAGCAGTCTTTTGTGATATGTGTATCACAAACTTTAAAATTTAAAGTCTACAAGTAATGCCGCCTCACTTATTTGAAACTCCAGAGCACTTAGTGAAAACAAGGCTCTTAGGCCTCACCCGCGTCGACAAAAAATAGTCAAAGATGGAGTAACCAGCAGGTAACAAAAACAAGATTTCAAAAGCTAGGATTTTACTGTGGGCCTGACCAGTGGTCAACGAAAAATTGCTTAGAAACTAGAATCTTAGCAAGGGAGTGACCAGTGGCCAGCGAAAAGTAGTTTAAAAGCTAGGATTTTACTGTGGGCATGATCATGGTGTAAAGGCCGTGATTTCGCTGAGGGCGTGACCATCGGTCAACGAAGAATAATCTAACAACGCAGATTTCACCAGGGGCGTGACCAGTGGTCAACTGAAGTTGGAAGTAGTTGCAGTCAAGATGGCTTCGCGAAGGCAGGGAAATAGCAGCAAAAGAAGCAAAAAGGAGTTCTTTTCTAGATTGAATACAAGGAAAAGAAAGGTAAAACGGGAAGACTGAGGTTCACTTGAAAATGGGACGTAAGACGCGAGTCATAGGCAACACAAAGCAGCGTCTTCATTGTTTTTGAAGAAAAAATAGCACAAGACCCCGAAACACTCCACTTCTAAAGAGCAAATGATGGCTAAGTACTGATTACTATTGTAGACACGTCAACAAACCAAGACCCTGTAACAGAACTCGGTTGGCAGGAGTAGCGATTCGGTGCTACGGAATATATTCTTGGGTTTTCTCACTGCCAAATTCTTGGTACGGATTCTTTACAAAATGGCCCTTATTGCTAAACAATTTCCCCAGCCCACTGGGTTCTATAGAGTCGCTTTAGCTAATTGACCTTCAAAAGAAAATGTTTCCCAAATCTCGCGGGAGTTTCAAGTTGTTTCAAGCGTCCTTTTCTGCATCTCTTAGAGGAGAGCGGTAAATTCATAAAATTCATAAAAGAAAACGTTGAGCGCGCTCAGCGATCATAAGGCAGATAATTGAAGTTCTTGACTTAGAAACGTTTTGAAACCTTTCGGCTCTCTCGCGGAACTCACTATTCTTTTGCTCCTTCTGACGCAGAATAACACCCAAAAAAGCGGGAAACAAATGAGTGATTGTACTGAGAGATAAAGACAGAGGCGCTAGAGATGTGAAGGATGCAATCTGCAAAAATACAAGTAAAGGCTCCATACTGCTGTGTGCTCTAGGCGAGCCGGATCAGAGGCTGGGCAAGTCCAGCGCTGCCTTCAGGCAACAAAAGGCTTTCAAGCCAGTAAATGGGTTGAATGCGTCCATTTATCTATAAAACGCCTTATTTGTAGTCCAAAAAAGTAGAGTCCGCAGTATATGGCTTGCAGTGAGATGGGGTATCTTCAGAGAGCCCCTACGCGCCCTACGCATCTACCCAGAGGCTCAGCAACGCGCAAGAGGGCCTATAGGCACACTGACAGCCTCCAAACATATTGAAATCGTGGTTGCACAAGTAGTTACAGTACAAAGAAGCATACAGTCTGTGCTGTCGTTCTGTGAAGTAGAATGCAAGCAGGCAATGTTAAAGACGGACGCTTCGAGGCGGCTCCGCCTTGAACCAAAAGTATTCTATAAAAGGACTAAGTGGCGTGATCCAGCGTGGTAACAAGCCATGGGAACGAGTAAAACTCCAAGAGAACTTTATGGAAACTTTGTGGCCTAGCAAACAGCAGACAACACTGTGTTCCTACGGGGAATAATTGTGTGGACTATGCTGATCTCACTACTCTGTGAAATGGCAAGAGGAATATACGCGAAAATTTGCGGCAAATTGATGCCGCAGCAGCAGCTCAAAAGGCACGGAGTAGGCAAGACGAAAAGCAGCACGTGGGCGAGGTCGGATGGTTGTGCTTCTTCTTCCGTATGGAATATTTGCAGATCCTTATTATTATCAAAGCTTTATCAAAGCTTGAGAAGGCTCTGTAAATGGAGACTCACGACTACATTGATGCAAGGACGCGAAATGGTATACACAAAAAAATAATCGTTGAGCTGAGGTGGATGCGGAATCTGGCTGCACTGGTCCACACCGTAGCTGGAACAGTGGTGTAGATGCAATCTCAGAGCGACAGAGTATGACTGGCTAAAGGTGATGTAGTCGAAAAGGCGATGTAGAAAAGTGAACAACTCCCACGAGAAGAGGAAAGCAGCGGGGAGCACCAGCGTGGGAGCAGCTCGGCGATGAAATGGAATTACCGAAGAAAGGCCACAATGAAGTGTAGGGAAGCAACAGTTCAAGAGTTCGGGCCAGAACGCCCGCCTGGAGAGCCGTCATCAGGTGCCTCTTTTCCTTGTCGAGTCTCCCACAGACGTCGAAACTGTTTATGATGGTGCATTGCCGTCATCGTACTTTCGACGAAAGGATATGCCGATGCATTTTGTTAAGAAGTCACAGTCTAAGCGAGGCTCGCTAAGAAAGCAGTCGGGGGAGGTGATGATGTTCCCATAACGGCTCGTCTGAAAAATTCAACGAAAGTGGAAACCTGCTCAATTTGCACCGGAGTCTTCCTTTTGCCAGGTCACGTTAAGCCACTTCGTACAGAGCAGCTGATGGGTTATTTTAAAATGAGCTTTTCTAACAAGATAGCGCTGGCTCATACAAAAGCTCATCGTAGTCCTCGTGGCACGATGTGGCTACTGGAACAAGAATAATTGCGAGTTCGAGGGGTCGCACAGTGGTGAGTGCATGACGCAGGCGTTTTGCCTTGCAGCCTTTGCGCCGGCTTCTAGAACCAGGAATATGAACAGCTAAGCAAAAGCGTAGGACAACCGGCATGCGTGTGGAGAGATCTCACACAAGAAGCCCCTGTTTCGAGTGCTAATGCAACAGACACCAGACACCTGTCTAGAAACTTATTTCACAAAGACACACGGCACCGGCGTGAACAGACTTTACAGGCCGATACCATGAAAGATAAAAGCATACAGATGATTTTAGGGCAAAGGGAACTTTGCTCATGATCGCGCCGCCCTTGCCAGAGGCAAACAGGATATGTCTCAACGACGTGGCAAACGGGGAAAAATGGATTGAGTAAGCAGTCAAGTATAGCTTGGGCGTGAAAATAAGCAAAGGCAAAGAAGTAATGTGCGCTGTGGCAACTTTATCCAACACTGTCGATGCTTCCCCTACGTAGAAGTGACACTTAGAGCTACACGGGAAGAAAGAGAAGAGATGGGCTGCACACCAACGCCCATGATGCCTTTTGGCAGTTGTCATGAGACTGGTTGCGAATAAAAAATGAAAGATGCCAGAAACCACGGGAAAGAGTAGCTGGGCTGAATGGCACGGCAGTCAAAGTGCCAGCCTTCTGCTGTAGTCCAATGTGTGCTTCAGTACTAGGGCAGAAATCTGTGTAAACTGCTAGTATGTCAAGACTGGAGTGTACTGCGCAGCATACTGCGCAGCACGTGTGTTGCTGCAGTCTTTTGATTTGTAGTGTTGGTCATCCTCTACAGTCCTGTGAAGCTTCAATGCATTCAGTGCAGTTGCCGATTCGACTGGTGTAGATGGACTTGAGCCCAGCATGCACCACATTATAAGGAAAGTGATTTCACTGTGTTAGGGGCAAGATGTTGCATATCGAAAGAATAGTCGCGGGACTAGCGATGCAGTGCTGGCGTGAATGATTTTAGCGTGACTGCCTATTGTGACTTGTCAGTTCTGATTTTGTATTGGGATACGATTGGCCCACGAAGCACTTGATCGGATGGCATTTTGATTCCTTTGCAGTGGAAACACTTGAATAATCGATATAAAAATTCACGTGTACCGATTTTTCAACTCTCAAAAGATGTCATGGATTGCAGCGCGTTACGCGCCGCCTACCTACTAAGTGAATATCCTGTTGTGAATGCTTATGCTCAGACATGATGTCAATAAGTAAGGGCACTATTTAACCGTTTAAAGGGTTCAAAGGGTTCAAAGAACACCACTTTTGGCCAAATTTTCAGAAAGTGCCCTTGTTCCCTCCACGCCATACACTAAAATCCCTCTATCTCTGGGTTTTTCCTTGCCGACGATACCAGGGTTCCTGCAACCCATACTTTGATGCAGAAGCACAGTCAAGCGAGCCCGCCTGCTGCGAGTTCCACAGCTGTTACCTCATTTTCTGCTTCGAAAAACCTGCGACTATTTATCCACCGCATCTGGAAGATATGCGTGACTCTGCTTGCTGATTTCCTCACGCAAGTCGTTTACTTCCACCATGCTGGGCATCGGAGCTTTTAAGGAAACACAAAACATATGAAGTGTTCTAGCCACAGCAACGAACGTCAAGGCAATTGCTATGGCTACCTGGTTGTGTGGAGATTAGTGAGGGGTCTCGTGGCAGCAGAATTAAGCATTCGTCCTTGATGTCTGACTCCTCCTTGATGCATTTCAATGAAACGCGCGCAGCAAGCAGTGTAAAAGAAAATGTGGGGAGTGTACAGTAGAACAAGCTTGCTAAAGTTGCTTTC